ACATTTATCCATAAATGTCACCAAACTGTGCCAAATATGTTTTTTACATCAATACTGGGGGTTTGGTAAAATTACAAGGTCATGTAGCAGCTCGACCCACCGGTGGGTCCGTAGGGTTCAAGGGGTTAAACTTGTATATGACACTTTATTTAAAATTATTTAGGGAGTACAATTGTAAACAAAGGATGTGGAAAGGGGGGTTAGAATGAAAGAAGGGATAAGAACTAACAGAAAATAAAAAAATATTTACGTTAACAAGACCAATACCAGATGAAATTTACAAGCAATGGATAAATGGTCATTAAAAAATGCAATTGTTTATAATTAATTTGTAATTGTTAATATAAGTGTTTCGCGCTTCATAGAAGGTTACGCGTTGTTGCCCTGTTTGTCCCTACCCGGCGCCTGTCCCTCAGGGCAGGTAGCAAGGGCTTATACTCCTGGCTCAACTTCGCAGTCATGGCGCCGTGCTCAGATACCGGTGTACGGTTTATTGGAGGAGCTGGGCGAAAACAACCCCTGGATGTATGGAGTCATTTTGTTTATACCGGGAAGGAAAAACAAGCAACCTGCATGATAATGATTGATCATGCCGCCGATGCCGGGTAACTAGCTTGTGTGTGTGTGTGCCTTCCTGTGCCTGTATCTGTCTCTCTGTCATTGAAAAAATTTGTTCTACCAATACTCTGGATATCAATCATTTGAATTTCTTCCTCCCAACTAGATTCCTGACACAGTGACACCACAGCCACATCAGAGGTTGGGGAAGGACGGGAAGTCTGTTGCAGAGATTTTGTGAGCTAACATGAGTTATAAAATTAACCCCCCTGCAAAGCTGCCTCTTATTATTGCATCAGATTAATCCAAATCTCTTTGAGAGCTGCTGAAGGACAAACGGACAGGACTGAAGACCGGAACCTGCAGAACACCGAACTGAGGCGAAGGCCTTCACTCCACCGAACCATAATAGTAACATTATCCTTCCCTGTTTCAGCCAGAGGCTTAATACGGGCTCTGCTTGGGTGAACTAGGTAGAATAGATAGTTGTGTTTGCGTTTTATTTTAAATAAATCTTCTGAATCAACTGCTGATGGTTTTAAGAATTGAAGCAGCTGTCTAGCTCAAATGGTAAGCCGCACAATGGCAGCCCACTGCTCCCCCAGGGGATGGGTTAAATGCAGAGGGAATTTTGTTGCTCTGTACTTCTGACAGTGGAATGACAATAAATAAATAAAAAAGCTGGAAGCCTTTCTTTCAGAATTAAAACTTCTAAAAGTTCTTTAAATACACATCACATTTCTGACTGTATATCCCTGTAAATATTACACACTGTAGCTTTAAACACCTGCCCTGCACCTCTGTTGTACGACGCAAACTGCCCTGGATCTGATTGTGTGTTAGCTTTGCATTAGCATATTCCCCCAACTAACAACATCATTATTCCTCCCATTGTTGGGTCTTATTAATGTTCCCTCTTCAGGTCGGAGGCCTCATCTTTGTGTTCCTTCACTGTAAAGTTATATCCTGGGCTAACAGCAGCTCAGCTGGTCTATCGTGACACAAAAACACATTATAAAGTCACAGCCATAACAGAACCTGTCCTAACAGGGTCACAGGCATGACGACTCTAGCTCGCCATGCCTGTGATCTTTTTAAGACACTTGGCTGAACAGAGTGACTCTAGATATGCTTTTAGCTGAGAAAGCAGGAGTTTCTTTGATGTTTTGCTGCCTTTATTGTTCCTTAATCCCTCCTGATGGTCGCGGTAACTAAGGCTTTGATTGGACTGCGTATTGTTGGGACTTGCCTGGAGCGTTTAGTGCTGTTTTTAGTCAATGGACATTTTTTATTGTTGCTTCAATTGCTGTGGCTGTTGTGCAATCCCCATCTTTGTTCTTTGTTGTCAAATGTTTGTATTTCCTTTAATGATTCATTGGCTTAATTATTATTTACCCCTCAAATGATTGTGTATTTGTTCTCATTTTAAAAAAAACGGTGAAAGTTAAAACAAACACCGAAACTGACGTACCTTTGAAAATTCGTTTGACAAGTTAAACTACATAAATCCTGCAATGCTCTTTCATGCTATGATTTTATGATGATTTTGTCATTTATTTACAAAGTTATGCTGAAGAAGAGTTTTAACCAATGAATAACAATGAAAAAAAAAATGTATTGACTGTTTGGCTGTAAAAAAAAAAAGTTATTGGTTCCTTTTACTATTAATGAGCATTTCAACAGGCTTCATAGCAGGAGTGTAGTTTGTTTGTGGAATGACTGATGGTACTCCACCTTTAGATTTGAGTTTTCCTTCTTGTTCTTTAATATGTTCTAATCTCAGATATATTGATGGAGGAAAGGTTCCTTTTTTGATCAAACGGGTTGAGATATCAATTCCACCTTATTTTAACAGGATGTATTGATTTTATTTGTCTCCTACACACCAATGCCCACTCAGGCTGTCCCACACCGGCGAGGCAACTCGCTGCCTGGTTTTGATTCATGGCTCTTTGCAAAAGAGGTTAAGATAGGTGGAAAACTCTTTCTAGATGAGAATAGGACTGAGTGTGTGAGTGTGAGGAGGATTGTCTCGTTCTCACCTTTACAAAGATAAATAAATTGCTGATTGACTGCCATTGATGTAACTTTATTGAAGTAAAAATGAAGAATTGAATAAATTTTTTTCTTTTTTTAGGTTGCTCAGTGGAGCAGTGGGTAGCGCTACTGCTCTGCAGCAAACAGGTTCCAGGTTTGATTCCCGGCCCGGGGTCTTTCTGCATGGAGCTTGCATGTTCTCCCTGAGCATGTGTGGGTTCTCTCCGGGTACTCCGGCTTCCTCAAACAGTCCAAAAACATGACTGTTAGGTTAATTGGCTTCTCTAAATGCTCCTTAGGTGTGAGTGTGAATGGTTGTTTGTCTCTGAGCTGCCCTGAGATGGACTGGAGACCTGTCCAGGGTGGACCCCGCCTCTCACCTGT